TTCGATATGTCCAGCCCTGTCTTCCTGTTTCAGTGAAAATTACGTCAACACATTGAATGATGCTTCGCATTTCAAGGCACTTCAGTGGGCCTTTAAGTTAAGCTAAAGCTACCTTTTGGAACAACCTTCACACCAGGAGTGTGTCTGCAAAGCATGATCGACATGCTCAATGACCCCTCAAATTAGACAACAAGGCAATCAGCAAAGTGACTGGTAGCCAAGTGGATCTTGTTTCCCATAACCAACATCATCACAATATCCATCATGCTGAATCAATGCCAGTAAGTGATGCTTTATAAATCCATGCTTTTAAGACAGAAAATGGGGAAAAAATGTAAATATATCCAACTACTGCCTCACAAGGCCGATTCCTGCAGAAACAAATAATTTCTATGCGTTTTATTTAATCATTATCATATTAAGCAATGAGCGTATGAATGTAGTATATTTTGAAATCATGTGTTTCTAAGTGCAGTGCTGCCTAATGCAGCATTCACACACTGTGTCATTATTGATGGGCTAATCCATTAGCACTATGAGGGCACAAAACATTGATCATACAGCAGTGAGTCCCGTCCCCCTTGCAACAGAGTATGTGTGTGTCAGAGGTCAGAGGTCAAAGCCACAAGCCTGTGTCATTGGAACATGCTTTATTTGTATGCCTATTATCAACAGAAATGAGCAGCTTGGGGCGTTTCCAAGATGACCGCTGTGAAAACTGAGTTGCCTTAAAGGGACATTGACAGCATGGATAGAATATCTGAATGACCTACTACTACAGCGCACAACAGAGAACACTGCACAGAATCCTGTATTTCACAATGCAATGCTCATTATCAACAATGCATAATGAAATAAAAGTGATCACAGCAGGGTTTTTGACATCTGCCAAAAGATAATGTGTTAGGGAATGCACTGATATTAAAATTCTGATTGATAACAATAAACTTCAAATTAATTTCATATTCAATTTTAGTAATTTAATATTTGTCATATTAATTTGTTAAATTTCAAGATATTAAAATTGATAACTATTTTGTCTAAATAAAAAATACTGATAAATAAAAATAAAAGACTAAAAAATAAAGCCAGTCACTTTAAATGCTGCAAATGAATTGAGACATCACAATATTATTATGTACTTTATAAAAATGTATATTCATTTTGAGATTGTCTAAAATTTATATTAAACAGCAATATTAAAGATGAACTTTAAATGAGCGTTAGTTGATGGCAAATGTAATCTAAATGTAAAAAAGCATATACAATTAAATATCCAATCATTAATTTATTCTGATCAATAAAAATACTCTAATATCAGCAAACAACAGACATGGTACTGATATGTGCATCCCTAAAAATAACTTTTATTTTTTTTAAATATTAAAAATATTTTGGAAATTTAAATTTAAATTTTTAGCTGCAGTCCGTAGGTTTTCCTCTTTGTCGCCATCTCTGTTCAAAATCTGCAATTGCAGTTATTCGCCAAATTATCAACTTTACGTGGGTTGTGCCTCGGCACAGCGCGGATGAATCCAATGTTTTGAGGAGAGTGTGCAGCTGTCAATCACCGCCGGTGTGGATACTGTCATTCGCAATCACAGATTCTACTTTTTGGAAGTATGTCCAACATAAGAATTTTCACCCTAAAATGTAATCTGAACAAGAAACATCCACTTTTGTTCTTCTGACCAACTATAAGGGAAAATAGCATTGCAGTAAATTGCGCTGATTAAATCTGACGATCGCTTATCATATCACGTCAAACTGTGCAAATTATACTTTGTTCTCAAATTGTTAATGTTCAACATCAGCATTGCGTGACTACATTTAATGCCCTTCAGATATTTATCCTTGTTTTCACATGGGCCAGGGTTGCAGTCTCTTTTTTTCTGTAGCCACTCCGAAGTACGAACAAAGTCTTTTGCATTTTACAACGGGTGAGTCTCCAGTTGTCACTGGTGATTGTCGTTTGAACCTTTCTGGATTCGCCATCAAATTGATAAGTTTAATTATATCGAGTGCTGTGAGAAAAGGCTATAAATCTCCACCTCCAGCATCCTCACACGCAATATAGCCTACTAGCCGAGACTCCTTCTTTATGTGTAATGACGCAAAGACGTGCTCGAATTTCCCGTGGAAATCCACCAGTACCACTGGAATTAAAAATATTATTACAATCTTACCGTTTTGAATCGAGCTAAGGCAGTATTGAACACTGGCTGGTTATGTACTTGCTCAAAAATTTGTTTTGGATCATTTTTAACCCACAAAAGTTACAGACTGCAGCTTAATTGAATAACAATTATATATATAATTTTTTTTATTCACATATTCACTTTAATAAGGTCATGTGAATTTCTATCATTTAAAAAAAATCTATCCCATTCTGAATATAATCACATCTCTCAACTTCTTCAAGTGACCTTTGACCTGTCATGAGCCGTCCTCATTTTCAGATAAGGCCAGCATGTGAATCCTCCCCGGGCGATGCTCCATCACTAACTGTGACACTGCAGAGCTCTCAGAGAGATAGCGGCACAACTTCCAGCGCTGTGGACAGATGGACAGAGCCAGACCCGAAGCCCTGTACCACACTGTCCCATTCCTCCAGCCAATAGTCCTGACCCAATAAGAGAAAAACACAAACACACTTCCCACCATCCAACCACATGAACCACAAGGATCCACCACAAAACAACAGAATATGCCTCCTGCGCCCTAAATCAGAGGAGCAGCGAGATTATGTGAGCCGTTTCGCTGGAAAAAATGCCGATTAGCAGGGAGAGGGATCTTTTGTCCCGGCAGCACATGCGCGGCATTGATTGTACTCGCTGTTTTAACCAGCGGGGTGGCTGATGTCTAAGCCGGGTGGCACACTTCTCTGCTCGATCGGCCTCTCTCGCTCACACAGACGCGAACAGGCATGTCGTTCCCAGGTGCCCTTCCCCCCATCTCTGCCTGGCTATTCCCCAAGCATACGTTTCCTTCTCTCTGCTCCACACTTGTCATTTTACACACTGATGTGAAGATAGATGTGAAGATAACATGTTCCCGGGATCATAGAGAACCATAAACACATACATGAAGAGCTGATAAAACACATCACAGAAGGATGCAACACACACACAAGCCGGGCAACACATGCTATACTGGAGAAATCACTCATTACTAACAACACAGAGTGTTAAAGTTTGTTCTGATTCTGAAGGAAAGAAATTAAGGATTTGTGTCCTTTTATGAGGCTTCATTAAACCTCCATTAACCGACTAGTTATAAATAGCAGCATTCAACAAATACCACACAAAAAAAGCTAATGAGATTGTCCAATAAAAATAAATAAACAAATAATACATTTTATAAATAAGTAAGAAAATAAATTCTGGGCTGATTTAAGTTATTTTATTTTTAGCCTCCAGAAACAATCCACTCCTTTGTTCTCAAAGATATTTTTTATAATGAAAACCCTGATCATGTATCTCTTGAAAATGTTACCCACGTCATTATTTTGTATTCTAAATGTTTCACTCATAAACAAAAACGGTTTAAATCTTCATTGTGTTGGAAGTCATCCCTCAGACTTATACACAATAATAATAAAAAAGATTGTAAATGCTTTATGAGTTTATTTAAAGATGTGATTAATTTAAAAACATATGTGTTTATTCTACTTTGTTTATTTGTTGTTATTTGAGATATGAATTTCCCTGTTATGTATTGCAACAAAAATATAAATAATAATTTAAAAAAAGATTTTTGTCCATATAATGAAAGACAATGGGGTCCAAAATTGGTCACTGGACTAATCATTGCATGGGCATTTTTTAAAATGTCTTCATTTGTGTTCCAACAAAGAAAGAAAGTCAGGTTTGGAATGACATGAGGGCGAGTAAACAGAATGTACATTTTTGGAAGAACTACCCCTTGGCTTTAAATATCTATTTAGTCTCAAAAGTTTATCCTAAAATGTCTTAGGAGACATAAGAGCAGGGCTGTCGTTCTAATTTTCATGGGGCCTGGGACAACATTTTTATGGGTGGGCTTCACCACTCCTCAACTAGGCCCAATGCAAGGACTGTAGTGGGCCCCCCTCATCATGTTCCCGTGCCGTTCGCCCCTCTGGTACAGAGCTATGAAATGAATGTGGACAGTATAGCCCAGATCATTTTGGGAAGTATTTATTGAGAAATGCTTGGGTTAAAGGGACAGTTCAAGAAAAATGGAACATGTTGCCATCATTTACTCACCCTCGTATCATTCCAAACCTGCATGACTTTCTTGGAACATAAAAGAAGACATTTTGAAGAATGTTGGTAACCAGTAAAAAAAAAAAAAACAGTTTTGGTTATACTTCCATCTATAATATTATCTTTTTATGTTCCACAGAAGAAAGTCATACCGGTTTGGAACGACATGAGGGAGTAGCATAATGACAGAATTCTCATTTTTGAGTGATCTATCCCCTTTAATACCATAATCTCAGCTTTTTGATTGCAGACTTTGCTGTCTTAGCAAATCCAAGCACAGTTGGAGGCGATCTCTTCTGAAACTCCAGAAGAGACACGTGATATTTTCTCAGAATTAAAGTCTCAAGTGTTCATTAAGATGACAAACAACAGCACTCTTTGTACTTGACATTAATGGGCACAGTTTATAGAAAAGTTGTGGATTTATAAACTGCTTTAATTTGAATCAGACAAATATGTGAATGACATATCAAAATTTGAGATATGCAGCTCAAAAGAACACTGAGTTACAGAGGTTGAAACAAAATGTGTCTCAACAGACAACAGTCTCTCCCATATATCCCGACACACAGTGTATGAGGGGAGCAGTGGGTCGGGGATGCCTAGAGTGGGTGTGTGTGATGTATTGCATTGCTCAAGCAACTGCAATCGCTCTGTCTGTATTGATAAACAGCACGGAACCGGTGGGCTCGCGGAAAACCCTTTTATCCGACGACACACAGAAATAAACTTGTCCGCTACATGTTTTCATACCTGAGTAACCCGGGCAGAGGTATGGAGCCGGAGCCCGAGCCCAGCAATCCTTTCTTCCCACTCAACAGCTTCTCCACCAGCCCCACATTCCCGGTCCGCGCCGCCTCCAGCAGCTCCTGTTCCTTCCCCATCCCGGACACAAGTTTAATCCACGAGAACAAAAACAATCCGGACTGAACGGCGAGGTTTCCTATTAGTATTTCTGCAGCATGTTACCGACAAACAGACGCTCCGCCGTGCGCTGCTGTATGAATAAAGCCGCTAGTCCATACCGGAGCTCAATGATGGAATGATGCACCGGATATTTACTGTAACGCGGTCCCGGTGCAGCTGAGCTGAACGGGAGGATTCGGTCCTCCAGACGGGCTGGTTGCCTGGTGACGAGGGTTAAATCACACTCACCAGCAGCAGTTCTGTCCGTGCGCTCTCGGTCACCATACACACGCTGTTCTCTCTCTCTCTCTCTCTCTCTCTCTCTCTCTCTCTCTCTCTCTCTCTCTCTCTCTCTCTCTCTCTCTCTCTCTCTCTCTCTCTCTCTCTCTCTCTCTCTCTCTCTCTGCGTGTGTGTGTGTGTGTGTGTGTGTGTGTACGCGCCGTTGTACCGACAGCAGGGCGGCCCAGCATCAGTGTTTTTCTCTCTTTCGGTTCCTATATGGCAGTCTTTCGTTACGAGAGGAGAGAGCTGCTCTGGCTGGGCGTGTAGTCAATGAAACAATGTTACTGTAACCTTGTTTTGAGTTCATTGGTACACGAGAAGATATCATATCATATTTAAGGAACGTTTACACACTGTACTGTGGTGGAGAGATGGTAATACTATTAATGGTATGATACAGCAAGGTAACTATCATGGATGTTTTTCTTTTCTTGCAAGGATATTCTGTAACCTTCTATTTGGACAATCAAGAATCAACTGTATATTCTACACATGAACAAGAATATGGACATGAAATAGAATATGGGATTCATGTAAACATCATCAATTAATAATAATAACAAATTCTATTTGAAATGAGCATTTCTCGTACTCAAAGCGCTACATTTTACAATTGTCATAACCGGATTAAGCCAATATTGCAGCTAGAAACTGAAAACAACAAAACAACAACTAACAGCTGGGATTCCTAGCAAACAGAATATTCCCCCAAATTTTAGTACTTTGTTCTTGGTTATTATTTGGGGAAACAAATAATAATGTTCTAGAATGCTACAATATTGAAATATTGAATGAACACGGATTGCAGGTTTTCTCAGGGTGTTGTTTACTTCACCAACATCTCCAAAGCATTACTTCCTGTGCCGTTCAGCTGTGAAGTCATGAAGAGAGGGAAAAAACAGTGCTAAATACTGGAAGAGGAACACAAGAAATGAAAGAGATGATCTGGTGTGTGTGTGTGTGTGTGTGTGTGTGTGTGTTTGAGAGAGAGAGAGAGAGAGGCAGCTGCAGGCCCACTGGGTGTTGGACAGAATCATTTCGACTTTGCCAAGAAACAGAAACAACCGGATCTTATGAGGCAGTTGTGTGCAAGCGCTCTCCATTACTCACACAAAAACAAGCGGGTGTTCAGTGTCTATTTAGTTTCGAACTCCAGGAATAAACTCCGCCATAGAGCAGCAAACAGAGCAGTATTCATCTGCCTTAATAGGCAATGCATAAAGTGGGAGCACACACACACTTGTAGGCCTGGCTTTGCAATTCATGAGAGTACCACATGAGATTGAGGTTGTATGAAGGTGAAGCCAAACCAAACTGAGATTACACGGACGGAAAGACCTTTTTTTTGGAAACCCAGGGGAAAAGTGACCTTTTAAGTAGCACCTAGAAAAAGTGATTCATCGCCCAAAAAGTCAGAAGTCGATCTAGAAGTCAAACCATTGTGGAAGTAAAAGCATGATACAGTCTAGCTCCCACTTCATCACTTTAGAAATCGTACTAGTTACTGGATACCAGTTAAAATGCTAAATGTAAGGAACACATCACACAAAGCAACATGGTATAAGGTAGCGATGTTACAGAAGTAGCGACAGATCTTTTCCTTCAATACAATCTCATTGACATCCGTTACTATTTTTCATTTTGGTGAATTGGTGGCTAATTCGTATGAATGCGTACGATCTCATGCGTTCGTCTTCGCACATCCCAATGACGGACTGGACATCTTTAGGGGTGGACCTTTATGTTTATATATTTATTTCTAATAATCATACGTTTTTGTACGACTCACATCATACGAATTCGCCACCTTGTAACCACGGGCGTCAGTTTGGTTTGAAATGTGGTGGGGACAGAGACGCATTCGGAAGTGCATTTTCAAAAGTGCTGGGTACAAATTCTGCAGCCTGTTTAACCCGTAAATAAATGCATCGATCCGCAAGTTTTTGTCTGAGTTCTTAAATGGTCTGGTGGTAGATCTTTTGCCAAGCGTGTCAGAGGTGACGGGTTCTAATCCGCCCTCGGTATAGTTTTTTTTTCTCTCAAAACTGAATAATGTTCATCAGTGGTTACAGTCTATATCAAGCAGCCAGGGACACGTTTGTGTGCATTTTATTTTGTAATTTCACCGGAATTAATATATACGAGTCTCTCCGCAACGGCGATAGATTGAAGTGCGCGTCCGAGTGAAGACTGTGCGCGAGCCACAGAGAACACTGTATCCACGACACTGATAGCAGCGGACACGAGCGCTCAGCTTGAGTTAAAAAACAAAACATTTTAGCTAGATCTCTTATTTAAGAGCGAACTAAATGAATGCTCTGCTAGTTAACTGGAGATGTTTTATTTGTATTAGGTACATCCGACCGTGCCTCAATGTTTCCAAGAGTGGTTGGTACAAAATGACTCATGACGAAATCTGGTGGGGACGCGTACCCACCGTCCCCACCGAAATCGACGCCTATGCTTGTAACATAGTTGCATTTTCCATGTGAGACCAAGTTGTTTGTTCAGTATTGTGACGTACATCCGAGTGAAACTGATTAAAAAAATATAGAGAAGCCTGTTGTTTCATTTGAAGTTGAGATCAAGTTATGATATTTTAATAAAAAGAAAACAAATGTATAAAATGATGAGGTAAAATCTTTTTTTTTTTTTTTTACATTTTTCTAATTAGAGTAAGCATGTGATTGAGAGCATGTGGGACAACATCTGATACATATGAAATATTGAACAATTTATTGTCACAAAAAAAGAGCAGACCTGAAACCCATGAATAAAATGTTTTAAGCTTTATTTCAGATGTCTCAGTACTTCAGCAGCTTCTGACAGTAACAAGAAATCATCATTTCTTAAGTTTTCTTGCATGAGCATCATTGTTCATGATTTGTGCTAAAGAGGCGGGACTCCATCGCTAAGAGGCGTGTCTATTACATATTGAGGCGGGGCTAGTGTTATAGGGGTGAGGCCTAGTACTACAGAAGAAAAGTTTTGGTTTCCTACAATCAGGTGTTTGTCATCCAGTTCTCAATGTTCAAGTCCAAACATCTGAAAAATGTTCTCCAGATGGAAGCTTGTGTTGTGAAGAGCATTAAAACATTCATTTAGAGAACAAGAAATCAAGCAGAACCTCTGGAGAAGGTGTGCAGTCACAGGCACTTGTAGAGGCCGCTGTCGAGAGGAAAAACAAGGGCAGGAGAGAGAGCAAAGAACCTTTTTGCATTCATTGTATTCCATAATAACTAGATAGGCTCTTCTCTTTTAAAGCGTACATAAGAAAAGCCAACCGAACACAACCTCTTAGAATTCCCACAAATGCATCAGTTGAGCCGTTTTCCAACATCCAGCTCTGTTTTGTTTTTTCTTTGTGCAGAAATGCTGGTAATCAGATCAACAATGTGACAAAGCAAAGGCTAAACATTCCAAGTTCAGAGTAAATTAAACACCTGTAAATTAATAATTCATCTCCTATTATGACTGTTGCAGTCCAAATGTTCATCTAAAAAGACAAACATGGAATGTCACAGCATTTAGTTACAAATACTGAACTGATATCTGCAAACCTTCATGTAGTAAGACAAATCAAGTTGTGCAATGCAGTGTAGTGTGTTCGCGAACATAAATAATCCCGAAAACATTTTCCCGTTTTTGAGACACTAACATAAGAATGAATTGTAAAAAAAATTGTGCCTACACCAATTCAATCGCATTAACAAAAAAAAAAAAACATTCTTGTATTTCACAATTACTATACATAAACACAAATTTATTAGTTGCTAAATATAGATATTTTTTAGTTCTTTTTAAACAAAAGAGTTCAGAAACAGTGCAAATTAACTTTAAGACATTCCTCCAAAGATATGACATTCAACATCACACACCCTGACAGTGTGTAAGACTGTGCTGGGGTTAAAGGTCAGGGGTGGAATGTGCTCCAACACTGTGTATGATTGGTTAGAGAGAGAGAGAGAGAAAGTGATGAAGAATGTGCATTTATCACCTTTATACACTTTCCCATGATAATCTAAGGGGTCCATCTGCAGACCTCTCCGACACAAAGAAATGAACTGAAAGAAATTATAAAAACAGGAAGAGAGCAACAAAACATCAAGAGAATGTGAAATTTCCATCGGCTGTCCGAAGTGTTTTTTTACTGGACTTTTTCTGTTTCTGAAGCTTTGTGTGCACACTATAGTAAAGAACACTGTTCTTTAAGAGCAGATGCCACTGATTATTAAGTCTGGTTCCCGAGTGAAGTGAGAGCTCACGGCACACATACCATTCTCCAATTGAGAATTTTTTATTTGAAGTTTTCATGGCGCCGGGCCCCTCCAAGCACTCTGCTGCCCCCCTGTGGCGAGTGTCTGTCCTGTATGCACACACACATGCACTGCCACTAGCTGTTGCTGCCCCCGCTGGTGAGTTTGAGACTCTTCATTTGATGCTGGAGAGAGTCTTTCTCCATCTGGGCTTCTGCTAGCGCCATCTTGGCTTTGGACAGCTCCAGTTTCAAGCATTCATTCTCCTCCACGAGCAGCTGTATGGATGGAAAAGATCATTAGCTTGGCACACAAAAGTGTTTATTGTTTATCAGCCTGGATGCTTTGCTTGAAAGATAATTGCTATTGATGTTAAAGGGGTCATCTTTTTATCATTTAATTTTTTTATCTGAGGTTGATTTATAAATATTAATCAGGGTTTTTAAATGTGTTCATGTTAAAACGTTGTATCAAATATGATAAACATGCTTTTAAGGAACATTTATTTGTACAGGTCCTTCTCAGAAAATTAGCATATTGTGATAAAGTTCATTATTTTCCATAATGTAATGATAAAAATTAAACTTTCATATATTTTAAATTCATTGCACACCAACTGAAATATTTCAGGTCTTTTATTGTTTTAATACTGATGATTTTTGCATACAGCTCATGAAAACCCAAAATTCCGGTCTCAAAAAAATAGCATATCACGAAAAGGTTCTCTAAACGAGCTATTAACCTAATCATCTGAATCAACTAATTAACTCTAAACACCTGCAAAAGATTCCTGAGGCTTTTAAAAACTCCCAGCCTGTTTCATTACTCAAAACCGCAATCATGGGTAAGACTGCCGACCTGACTGCTGTTAAAAACCACTGGTAAATGGTTTACTGACCATGGTATTACTGTGCTCAATTGGCCTGCCAGCTCTCCTGACCTGAACCCCATAGAGAATATGTGGGATATTGTGAAGAGAAAGTTGAGAGACGCAAGACCCAACACTCTGGATGAGCTTAAGGCCGCTATCGAAGCATCCTGGGCCTCCATAACACCTCAGCAGTGCCACAGGCTGATTGCCTCCATGCCACGCCGCATTGAAGCAGTCATTTCTGCAAAAGGATTCCCGACCAAGTATTGACTATTGAGTGCATAACTGAACATAATTATTTGAAGGTTGACTTTTTTTATTTTTTTATTAAAAACACTTCTTTTATTGGTCGGATGAAATATGTACATTTTTTGAGACCGGAATTTGGGGTTTTCATGAGCTGAATGCCAAAATCATCAGTATTAAAACAATAAAAGACCTGAAATATTTCAGTTGGTGTGCAATGAATCTAAAATATATGAAAGTTTAATTTTTATCATTACATTATGGAAAATAATGAACTTTATCACAATATGCTAATTTTTTGAGAAGGACCTGTATGTTTATCTCTCAATCATTATAATTGCATTGCATTACATGTTTTGCACCCACAATAAAAACTACAGCGCTTTGATCATGCAACAAAGCATTTAAATATCATCTTAAGACATATTATTGGAATAAAAAAAGTGACTGACATTTATATGCATTGTATGCAAGTAGTCTGTTTGTTACACAATTATAAAGATCTCACTGACTTACAAGCTATCATAATTTCATCTTACTTTTTGGTCATATAAACTGCACTAACTTGCATATTTTGCTCAGTTTGGGCCTCTGTTTTTTCTCTTCTTCTTGAGTATGAGCTCCCTATCTCTATTTGACACATAAAAGTCTGATGTATCAAATATGACACTCAAAAACATATGCAAACTTTTTAAATTATTTTTTATATTTTGTCTAAAGGTTCAATAGAGTTTCATTTAAAGACACACGATGTAAGATTTTTGGATTAAAATATCCAAAAACCACCAGAACAATGTTATATATTTTGTTGATTTGTGTACTTAGATTATCTCAAATGTTTCTAAGAATGTTTAAATCCAGAGAAATACACGGACCATGTCCGTGGGTCGCCTATTAATGACATCATACCCGCGTTACCCTCGATTTCCAGTTTTATTTTGTAGAAACCAAACCATGGAAACAGCAAAGACGCTTTAATATATTACGTGTTTTATTAGATAGGTGAGCAAATGTTTGGATACATTTATCGACAGAAAACTAATCATTGTTCTAAAGCTCAACACTGTTAGTCTTTTTGTTTAAATCTAGTTTTCTTTATTAACCGCGAGTACCATTTTTACCATACCTAATATCGATCTAGCTCACCGCAGTGTGCAACAAGTGTCTCATATAGTAGCCGCCGAGCGAACGCACAGAGTAGCATTATAACAACTTTCATCACACTCAAATGTATCTAATATGATAAAACAGCGCTGCGTTACCCCACATACGCATGACCGGAAGAAGCGGTCAGCGGCATAATAAAAGCTCCATGTCCAAGAGCCGTATGTCGCGCTTGACTCTCATTAGCAATCGCTCCAGCGGCCTCGTTCCGCTCCAACGGCTTTCGTAACTTCAATACATTACCGGTCATCTATGACTATGTTTCAAGGCGTCATCAAGCTACCCCTTTGTTTTGAATAAGCGACCTCTAGCGGCAAAAAATTACATAGTGTGCCTTTAAAAAAATAAAAAAATCAAATTTTCCTGGGTATGATTTCATATGTCAGGCTTTAGAGGGTTAAAACAGGCAAACCAAGACGGTAAAAAGGCTTACAGACATACATTTGTATATAAGGCGCAAAATAAAACGTTCACATAAAGCTGCAATTTTACAAGTCCAGCTTTATGTGGACGTACCCTGTGATGCATTACATCATGCAAAATTTACATATCGCAAATTGTACCTGTTCTCTACTTGAGGGGGTGGGGCTTGTGTGTGACAGAGGTGCAGTCTGAGTGGCTTTCGGCTCACTGGCCACACCTACAGGAACTTCAGGGACAGAACTGAGCCTGCTGTCATTCACATGCCCCGCCTTCTGAAGCTTTGGGTCCGCAGCACGCTCAGCTGTCCGAGGGGAAAGAGGGGAGGGATGCATTTAGAACGTGCATTCCTGAGCTTTGATCCTATTTTAAAATAGTTCAAAATGGAGGCAAACTTTAAAGTAAAAGAGAGAGTGCATGCATGTGCCAGAGGGATTCAAATAAGGGGAAATGCTATAAGGAACTATTATAGTTTAGGAGTGAAAGAGGGAGCAGGAAGAGATAAACAAGAAGTAAGGGACATGAATAACCTCCTCCAATGCTGAATGAGCCGTCATCCTGACGATGGATAAGCAGATTATGAATATGCACGGCGATGGGCGTGGCTTCGGGCTCTGACGCTTTGTCACGGGGACCATCATCCTGATTTAAACACATATATTAGTACATAAATGCTGTTTCTGTCTTGCTGTCGACTACATTATTTTTTTCATTGAAGTTAGACGCAATGCATTCTGCGAGGGCAGCTGACTAGGTTTTGTAACAGAAGGGCTGTGTATAATCACACAATGTAGGCAAGTATGTCTAGTAGGGGTGTCATAAATTATCAGTATTGATAATAATATTGCCACTAACATGTCGAGGACACGGCAAAAAAAGCAAAACCTACATCTTTGTGTAAGTTTCAATGACCAAAAAAGAGAAAACACTAAATAAACAAAGTGAAAGTTGAATTTGTCTGATATCATTATGTTAATTTCTATAGACATTGCGATAATACTGATATCGTTCATACTTTTGCCCATGATAATTGTGTTGTGAAATATGATATCTTGACAGCCCTGATGTTCAATGTCTAAATGTACCTTGAGGTTCACGTGTGTATCTTTGATGGTGATCTCCATGGGGAGGACCTGGGAGGCGGAGTCATCCCCCAGGAAGAGGGCGAGGTTTCGCAGTGACGTCATGAGGAAGTCGGCACTGAAGGCCTGTAGGCGGCACTGCAGGAAGCCGTTCTGTTCTGCGAGAGGAGAGTGAACCGCAGCCCCCGGGCCACTTTCCAGCCTTACTTGCACCTCTGGATTTAATAACACCATGCTGGGGTCAGACCCTGACCCAGAGCCTGCGAGAAACAAATAAAATTCGAAATTAGGTGATGTCCTGATGTCATCTTTGACAGATTTGGATTGTGGTGTCAAAATTGTTTTGTTGGTTTAAAGGTTTTCAGTTTTGAGCCATGAAATGCTTCTTTCACACTGACAAAGTGAGTTTGGAAATATCGCAATTGCGATTTCTGAGCATATGAATGACAGAGCAAAGTCATATTTACAAGTGAGAAACAAGCTGCTTAGTTGTGATGTCGTATGGGATGGGTTGATGATGGAAAATGATCTATGATATTGATGGTATCATATTTTACACCAATAATCTATATAATTTATAATCCATTAAAAAGCTACAATGATAGTACAGTACTATTAATACATTGTTTTAATACAATTGATAACTGTTTCAGACACAAGATTGTACCAGCTCCTTTTGTATTAAACAAGCGAGAGCTATTCTGCACATGACACACAAAAGAAGCGCTGGCTTCAGTTACATGGATGAGCAGACTTTTATATAGTATAGCATTCCTATTGACGATGGTCATTATCAGGACATAACAGCCCTTGAAATGTTGTGACTGACCAATCAGAATCAAACATTTCAGAGAGCGTTGTAATAAGTCATAATAACGAAAGCCTAACTCGAAGCTACAAGCCTACCAGGTGCACTTGAAGGTCGATAGTAAGTGTTCCTGCTGCTGGATAGCCTGACGTGTCACTTCACATTTGCATAACGTTAAACTTTTCTCAAGTACAGTTCCTGTTGCTCTCACTGAAAATGAATGATTCCAGGTCTCTGTCAGTGTCAATGTCCCTTCATACTTAAGCATAGATGCCATTACAAAGAATGCACGCAATAATGAAGATCCACATGATAAAAAAACACCATCTATGTTTCTCCATGCAATGCAATAAGCCTTGGAACTACAAGAACACATAAATGTGTACATGGTCATGCAGGAAACCAAGGGATCATTAATGAGTGGAAGTCAAGGGCCCGCTGCACAGGCTGTGGATCCAGACGGGAAAGCAGGACACGGGAGACAGCCACCAGTCTAAAAATAGACAAATCCAAAACATTGAAACGCTGCTTTTAAATTATGCATTGAATCCAAAATGTCAGCGCAACAATGCTTGTGGTAATGAATAGAAATCTCATTGAAATTCATGGAAATTTCCTACAGCAGAGGGCAGAAAGGAGACATCAAATGATATCGGAGCTGTGAAGTTCAGAGGTCCCAGAGGCTCTAACGGTGGAGAGAGTTCACGGTTTCTAATATACTTCTCTGTCTGATCTATATTGAATTCTTTCGAGAACCGTCAGCTCTGAAACTAAGACTGCATTAGCATCCTCACCTCCTCTGCCCAGAATAGAGAGAAAAATTCCTAAGCACAAATGCTTATTCAGCAAAAGTGTTAAATAAGATATACCAGAGTGATAAGAAATAGGGAGTCCATTGCAAAAATAGTACTGTGGTGGTACAGTGGTATGATGATTGAAGCTGGATGGTACTAACACAAACATGCCACATTTATATACTGTGGTATATGCGGTACGCCAAAGTACTTCAAGGAACACTATGGTACATGTACAAAAACTTGGTATTACCATAGCACTGTGTCCCTTTGTAAGCCCCAAAATCGCAATAATACATGGATTAAAAAATATACTAGATTTAAAACATATTTATAATATTTTTCTGCATAAGGAATTTGACTTAATGAACATTAAAATTAAGGTTTTTTAAAACAATCAGGAATTTCAACCTATGATTTTGTATATTTGTATTATATTTGATTAATTATAATATAATTTAAATAACAAATATGATTTGACTTATTCATAATGAAAAAATTCTAATTATATCTATAATTTATGCTAACCATCATTGTTTATTGTGTGCAGGTAAGATTTAATTTAAGTATTCTTAAATGGAGGGAGGGGGGGCTTTTGTGCAAGTGAATAAGTTTGACATTTTTTGCTCTAGAACAAAAAGAGAATTGCACGTCATCATGTTTGTGATATCAAACGTTCATCTCTTCAATGTCCTCTGGAAATAGTGGAGTTGGAAAGACCATCATTACAAGAGATAGAAGTGATGATTCCTTTCATTCCTAGCTGAACATTTTAATTAATCTTTCAACAGTTGTGAATAAAACAAGCAAACCGCAGCACTTTCCCTCCCAAGTGCAGATACCGAAGAACAGCAAGAATTCTGCAAGAGGAAAGTGAATGAGTGAGAATAACTGAAAATAGAGAACATGGGAGCAGGTGAGAGAAAGATACAGGGAAACGGACTGAAAAACAGAGGCTAGCAGAAACAGTCAAGAGAAACTGAGCATGGAAAAGCCTACAGATTAATGCTTGGAGAGGAAAGAGGCAGTGCTCTGAAGCAGCCTAGATAAGACGAGAGTGAGTATGTGTGTGTTTATGTGTGTACAAAGTCTCCTGAAGCAGCCATTCTGGTACTGCAGAACCCAGTGGTCTGTGACAGCAGAGAAACGACAGCACAAAACCAGAGCAGCTAAGGATGAGAGCGAGAGAGGATGAAAGAGAAGAGCTGGGACCACTGGGTGAGAAAAATGCTCCATTACAATTCACACATCACACAAACTTACTATACTGCTGAAAAAAGGGCTCTCATTTAAATGAAGAGTACTTGTCCACTGACCACTGTTTACACTACACCGTTTTCAACTAAAAACTAGGGCTGCCTCCGACTTAAGATTTTTTTTAGTCGACTAGTAGTCGTTCATTTAAGCCATTAGTCGACTAATCGCACGTTTATATTAATTTAATTACTTAAATATATACTGGGTGGCAGAATATAGCCCATGCCTCATGCTCAAGCGCACACATAAAGCTTTTCATTGTCATGTAAATGTGCTGAGTCTCTTTAAACCACTGCTACTAGAAGCACTAAAGCTAAATATTAGATATTAATATTAAAGAAGCTTATTTAGCACCGCCACTATAAGAAAATTCCAGGACTCACAACAATAGAGTAAAGAGAATTACTGCATACTAAATCAAATGTTAATACTGATATTGTTTACATTATTATAAATAATCATTAAGGGTCATTTTTGTGAGGACTATGAAAGTTTCTATGACAGACACTTATTAGCATCTTTCTCAATTGACAAATATACATTTTTTGCAATTAGTTTGACTAATCTACCAATTACTCGTTTATGACGATATGTACAATAGGTACACTACCAGTCAAAAATTTGGGGTCAGGTCAGTTTTTTTGTTTTTGTTTAAGAAATGAATAGTTTTATTCAGCAAGGATGCATTAAATTGATCAAAAGTGAAAGTAAAGATATTTATAAAGTTAAAAAAGATTTCTATTTTTAGATAAAAAATACTGTCCTTTTGAACTTTCTATTCATCAAAGAATGAAAAAAGCATCACGTATTCTACACAAATATTAAGCAGCACAACTGTTTTCAACATTGATAATAATAATAAATAATAATAATAATAAATGTTTCTTGAACAGCAAATCAGCAAATTAGACTGATTTCTGAAGGATCATGTGACACTGAAGACTGGATAGATAATGCTGAAAATTCAGCTTGGCATCAGGAATAAATTACATTTTAAAATACATTAAAATAGTAAAAAGTTGTTTTAAATTAAATTGTTAAAAAAAATTAAATCAAGTAAATGCAGCCTTGGTGGTTATAGACTTCTGTCAAAGAGATACAATTTTTTTTACCTGACCCCAAACTGTAGTGTACGTGTTCAAACCAAACACAAAAAGTGCTGGGAGAGTGATCACACAACACACACACAACTCGTGCAAACTCACCGACAGCATCTACACTCACAAACGTGTCGTGCGCACAAACACACACTATGTAAACACATGAAGATACACACTTAAAGTACCTTCACCACTCTGAGTGGCTGATGCTGAAGACACTAAACCTGAAAAAACGCAAACAGCAAGGGTTTATCAGGTGTAACATTGACACACGTGCACACAGGTGTCAAACGGTCTTACCCAGGCTGCGGTTGCTAAGATACTGCCGCAAACTGACGTTGCCGAGCTGATTGGGTCGGATCCGCCCCACCTCCAGAGCTACTGCTGTGTCATCACCCTTCAGATCCAGAGAACAGCAGACCGAGTGAACCTTCAAAATCAGTACCGACACCTGCAAACGCATGCAATTGAGGTATTATATACATGGCTACACATTACTAACACTGCAGATGCATAGATAATGTACTTACAATCTCATTATTTTCATTCAGAATAACAAAAAAGTTAACTTGGGAAAAGAGGAATGAAAGGAGAGAGGAAATTACAAGGTCTTTTGTGGGTTCGTCTATGCTCTGTGAGGCAGCGCTGATGGCGTCAGGTGACTGGGCCTCATCTGCCTCCTGAGCGAGACTCACATTAGCCCCATCTGTGGAATTCTGTTCATTTAGAGCGTCCTTAAAGCCAGAGATCGATACATCATCTATAACAAAACACACATATGCATATTATTTGATTAGAGCGGGAGAGTGTACCTGCATATAAAAATAAATAGTCATTTTCCCATCATGATTGGACCTGATGTTTAGCTTGCGCTAAATCTGAATGAATTTGTGGTTATGAAGAAACGCAGTCAATATTGCTCTATCAATGGAACAATAATATCCCAAACCTATAGAAGTTACAATACAGCCCCCTTGTGGTCGCTAACGTAATACAACTCTGGTATAAGAGAATACACATCAGTAAAACATGGTGTTCTGGAGTGCATGTACCTCTCTCCAGCAGGCTGTAGCTATCACAGTCCTCCAGTGAGTAGCTGTCTATGGAGAGATCATCCAGAGACTGCAGCGAAGGACTTTTCTTCATGTTCTTAAAGGACACGGCGAAACTCGACTGTGACTTGCCCTGCATCAAACGACCACTGCAGAGTACATGCAAAAAAAAACAAAAAAAAAGGGAAAAGGTGAATACAATGAGCACATGTCAGTGCTAATATAAAGAACACCAAGAATGATAAAAATAAAAAAAATATATTGATAGCATGTACAAAACATTTTTGGGCAAAATCAAAACACCAGTCGGCAAACTCTGAACACGTCCACGGTTTTACGCACAACACTACAAGGGACAAGCTAGTGTGAAATGACCACAATCACAATACCACGGTTTTGTCCACAAACATTCACACGCACACCGATGGGCACAGAGTCCTACAGAGGGTGTCTTACATGTTGGACATGGAATATAAGGAGGTAGACCTGCTGTGCGTGGAGGTTAAGAGGTCAGAGACCACTGATAAACTGCCTTTCCTTCAGAAGAGAGATTAAACAAACACACACACACATCCAGAGATCACATTCAGAGCAAGGAAGCAGTTGTGTATTGGGTTTTACTCCCAAATACACACACATACTCGTATAACATTCATATATATTATTTCTGCAATTATTTCTGCAAACTCACAATACCGTAATGAAGACCAGACTCAATTCTATGCCGAATACTGAAAAGGTGTGTCTCAAAGGCTGATGATATTAAACATACCTCTAATCTTAACTTCATACACCTTTAAAACGAACTTCAGGCACAAAGCGGGGCACCCTACATATATTGTACAGTATGGGCCCTGTCCCACTTGATCAAATATGAAGGCCACAAGTCTGCAAGTATTTGCGAGTCTGTGAAGGTAAAGGTTGGATCAGGGGTGGGAAACTCTGCACCTCGGGGTCCACTTTCCTGCTGAGTTTAGTTCCAACCCTGATCAAACACACCTGGAAAATCCAGTGGTGGACGAAGCACACATATCAAGTACTTGAGTAAAAGTACAGGGGTGGAATTGAGGTATAATGCACTAGACACAGATTAAATAGGTTACAGCTCAGTCTGACATCATTATGAATTATTTTGAATTGTGAAGTAGCCAGCACTAGTCAATAGGATATTATAGAATATTATGCAGACACTTAATATGTATTGATCTCCAAATAAGAAAACGTTTAATTTTATAACTCGCTCTGACCAGATCATTTGAATCATTTGAGTTGTTGACTCGAGAACAGATGCAATCGGATCAGTCCAATTCATGAATGAATTAATCAATCAGTTCGATTTGTGTTTTAAAACGATTTAACGATTCTTTTAAAAGAATCAGCTTGTTCACGAATTGGACACCGCGTCTCAGAGTGCGTAATGATTTCTTCAGTTCAACATAACGAAAAACACCATGTTTTTATGAAATGTAGTGGAGTAAAAAGTATGATATTATGCTTTGGAATGTAGTGAAGTAAAAGTTTCCCCAAAATAAAAATACTCTGATAAAGTACAGATACTTGAAAAATGTACTTAAGTACAGAAACGAAGTAAAATACTTCATTACTGTCCACCACTGGACCTTTATAGTAAAAATCTAAGGGCCAGATTTACCAAACAGGGCAAATTAGCATGTGAGCACAAAACCAAAAAAACGTAATCTACTGACGACGTGCAAATTAAAGAATACAGACGCAGCCGGATCATTTCCATAATGACCAACGCGATCTACCAAGAGCAGCGCAAACTAGCGTCTGGTTTAAGACATGCTTTTTTTGGGAGCGTTAAATAATGGCACAAATACCAGTAAATTGACAAGCGCAAACCTTAGTAAATCACCTTGCATGATTCATTTAAATACTCTCCTCCCACGTCTGAAAGGGAAACTCCAACAAATGCATATGGAATAATGTCAGCTGCAAAAACAACTCAGTCCACGCCTGTCCATGTGTCTTTAGTAAATCCTGACAGTAGTTTTTTATGCAGTTCTACTTCCATTATCAATTTTCAAAAACCAAGCAGGAAAGAAAGGGTAGTTGTGTTCTAAATATACAAACAATGCAATACCTGGATATGGACTGAGGCAGCCTGCCTCCCTGACTCTTGTCGTTCCACTCCCTGGAAGAAGTGTCGGAGATGGGATCTATTACCGCAGTTCCACCATGAGAGGTTTCACTCTGTTGCCCTTTGATTTCAGTTCTGCTGCCCTCTACATCAGGAGATCCTTCTCTCAATTCCTTCTCCCTCCCTCCAGATGCCACGCTACTCCTCTCATCCATAGACGCCTTTCTCAGAGCAGGAGATGGGGATGAGGAAGGAAGGAGAGGAGATACGTTGAGGCCATGCGTACCAGCAAAAAGGAGCTGATCTACGTTTGGACTACACTCTCCTTCAGCCGAGGGTATCTCGTGTCCCTCGCCCACCTCAATCCCGGCTTCAAGAGTCGTCCTGCTTTCTGAGGGGGAGACATCAGAGTCCAGGGGGCTGGTGCTTAAATCCGGTTGGGGAATAGGCTTTAAGAGTAGTGCAACTTCTGCACTTTTCATGAGCACGCCCACGCAAGCGCTGAAGGGTTGTGTGGGACCCTGGAGCTTGGAGCCGTACTGCTCCAGATCTTGCTGTAAAGTGCGCTGCAGAGATTTCACAGCATGTTGCAGTCTGAGCAGGAACATATACTGCCCATGGCTCACCTGAGCACTCAGGTGCTTCTGAACGTGCACTAGCACCTGCACGTCTACTTCACTGGACGAGGACGAGGAATCAAGGGAAAGAGACGAAGAGGAGTCACTGAATAGGCCATCTAGAGATTGTGGTTTGTGGAGACCATTGCTTGGCGTGTTGCTTGGACACGCATCAGTGGTGTAGTACTCCTTAAGAAGTTTCTTCCTCTGCAGACGATTGGCAATCTCTGCTGACTCACTGCGAGGCAACAGACCCGACCCTACACCTGCTCTGAGCCTCTCGTTGTGCTGTGCATATCGGGAAGGGTGGCATACCCAAAGTGTCAGAGGGAAAGAGTCCACGCAAGGTGTCGGACGACCTCGCCCACTGCGTGAGCCCTCATAGTCCACCCAGAACTGAGAGAAGTGCAGAGCCCACAAGTCAGTGGCTGCTGGTGTTTTGAGGGCCTTGGTGGAGAGAGATGGTGGAGCGAGGCCCCGGTACACATCATGAACACGTGTATCCTGCTCATGAGCATGCCGCTGGAAGACCGGATGGAGCACAGAGGAGGAGTTTTGGGCATGAGGAAAGGAGGAAGAGAGGGAGGTGAAGAAGGGTTGCTCCTGGAAGGCCAGCAAAAGGGCTTCCAGACTGGATCGTGTGCATCCGGAAGAGTGCCGTGTGTTAGTGGCTACCATCTCAGAGGTCTGCACTGACACAGAGCGAGGCTGGCCAGGCTGAGCCTTCTCCTGGTCTGCAGGAATCACCAGCTACAAACATTAAAACACAGAGTTATATATTAAAATGCAAAAAAGATGGTACAAGCCATGTACAGCATGGCTCCTCAAATTAGGGCCTGTAGAAGCGCTGATCAAACTCACCAACCTGTCATTTTCTGATAACTACATTTCACTGGAAGTATGCAAACGTAAATTAATTTCTACCTTCAGCATGAGCCCGTCCACTCTGATATCTACATGTTCGTCAGGTTTCTGCGAGTCATTGAGTTTGTACAGCTCCATGAATTGTTCTAAGCTCTGACGAAGGTCCAGTGCAAACAGATTGAGCCAAATCAGACTGCGCGAGTCGAGCACCAGCTGTAGCGCGTTCAACTGCACGTACAGGTTGGGACAAGGGACTGGAGGGAGAGAGTTTATTCATGTCAATTCAGAGAATGCTTGAGTCGAACTGATATTAAGTGAATATTCTGGTCTTGTCAGTGTTAATGATGGATGTGGTCACTTCGGTCTTACTGGGATAGTCTTTGCCATCCGGGAAGTAGTACTCTGTGAATTCGGCATGGATGGCCGGCATCTCTTGAGGGAGATAGAGGGTTTTCTTATTGCAGGATATCATGCTTTGAGGACTGGAGCGTGGCTGGTCTGCTGTAGACACCTTCAACACAACAGAAAAAACTACTTTTAAAAGGTCTCACATTTTAAGCATTCAAGCCGTGTTGCATCTGGTTTGATGTCAATGATGACATCATTGATTCCCACATGGCAGCACACCATATTTGAATTTGAATTGAGTTGAGAAGAAATGGCGTTAAACAGTTATTGCAGATGGGAAGATTATCAGTGAATAAGTTTCTGTTTTCTGACTTGGACTATAGCATGCAACTCATATGCCCCACTTTTATGATATTTTTGCATCTATGTGATCTTGTTTTTTTTATGAATGAGTATGTAGATTGCAGAAAATTGTGTTGTATGCATGTGTTTATCAACACAAACCTGATAGATGCTGAAATCTGCTATCCGTAGCACAATTGAGCTGGACATGAGTTGGGTTCTCGGTGCAGATGGAGGCGAGAAGGAAGTGCTGGAGCTGGTGGAGATCTTTCCTGTGGGAGACACACAAACTCAAAAGTCACAATCACAGTGGATCATCTGCACAAACCACAGCCATGTGTTTGTGTGGCACCTCAAACGCACACCAGAGAGGTACCTGTCTCCAGACACCAGCAGCAGCTGGCCGTGGGGGAGAGCGGCCACAAGCCATCTGCGCCTGAATCCAGCTCCCTAACCATTATCCCTTCACCCTGCGCCTCTAAGACAATCGACTGACGGACTGGGGACACAGAACCCATTACGCAAAAAAAAAAAAAACTCCTAAAACTAGGACAGGTGTTAGCTGCTTTCAGGACACACTTAATGACCACTGCAAAACACTTGAAGGACTTCATTAAAGCCATGATCACCATATGCTCATAAACATCAGCCGTACTGCGCTACTGAGCTAAAAACTGTACACTTTAGCTAAAGGCCCTTATACAAAGACTCTGCTACACTCTAAGAGGCCACATGGAAAACTTTGAACATCACTGCAGCCCATAACTGTGTTGTCTGTATCATCTGAAAGTGCCCTACAGTCTTTGAGAAGAGCCCTTAAAGTGTCACAAATTATTGCTTTATAATAGTGTTTGGATGGGCATATCCAGATTTATGCATCAATGAAGAACAGCTCATAAGTAACCAGTGTCCAGATCACATTTAACCAAAATTCCCCCCAAAAAACAACAAATAAATAAAATGTATAAATTAAATACAGTTAGCAAATGTTTTATTATTTTCATGGCAAATACACATTTAGCACCCAAATTCTCATTACCAATAATGTGTAGAGAACTTTTTATGCATTGTAATAGTCATTATTATTCCCAGCAGCGATTCTCATTACCATAAAACAGTATTTTTAAATGTATAGCTGTAAAAAAAAAAAAAAATAATCCACTAATGTAAATACTATAAATGTAATACAATGTAATACAAATGTACTGCTAAATCAATAATACTATGATGTATAAAAACAACAAAAATTTTATTTTTTGGATTACAGTAATATGGGAAAATGTGTTAAATTGTCATGAAAATAATGTCACAAGGCAAAAAATATTTATGGTCCGAAAATATTTTCTGAACATCTAATTCTCTACATTTAACCATATGTTACTGTACAGGTGTGTAACGAAAGTGTTTGTGTGTATCCTTACCCTCCTCTTTAAAATGCAAAAAATATTTATGGTTTGAAAATACTTTCTTTTGACTTTTGAGTCAAATATGATCCAGACACAGGATAGGTTGCATGAAACTAATCCATTTTTTGTTTTTCAGTCACAGTAAGTGTGTGTAAATGTGCAGGACGTTCTCACCATGCTGAGGAGAGCTCTGGGACTGGCCACTGACTACGTTTTTGAGCATATCCACATTAGACTTAAACTCCTCCAGGAGAGAACGGACCCAGGTCTCACGAGACTTTGTGGCCTCGCTGTAATGCATCCAATGCAAACAGCCCTCACCTGAAAGAAAGAAAGAAAGAAAGGCATTTTCTTTAATAATCTGAACATCTTCCTGTTTAACAGGTTATTAAAGGAAGAATCTATTTTTACCAGCTTTGTGGAAGGGATAATAGTCTACAGTTATAGAACTGAAGGACACCTGCATTGCGCCACCATCTAATCTCTTATTAATTCCTGCAGAGGAGAGAAAAAAAAGACACATTTCAGCTGAACACCACCAAACTCACACACTTTGGTGTTAACAGTATTGTGTGTGGGCATGTGGTACCTCTGTCCTTGGTATTGGTGTCGTCACAAATATGCAGGTCCAAGTGTGTGATTTGGAGATGGTGTGAGGTTTCACGAACATCATAAGAGTTGAAGAGCCGTTCCATGGAAGCGCTCTGATCTGCTGTGGCTGAAGCCTGCTGTGTGCGCACCTGCTGGGCTGAGGGGGGTGGCGGTGTTACCTAAAAACACCAACTGAGTTGAAATATACTGTATCTTAAGCTCAGATAACACACTAAAGACATTCAAACAAAGACATTTACAACACTTGACGCATCACCCACTGCAAAATCTAGGATTAAAAGTTTTAACCAGTAAGAGGCACCAAAATATTACTCGGATAATAGATGCAAACATAAAAAAGAGGTAGTCTGAAACAGCTGGTGTGGTTGATTTGGAAAGGGATGAGGAAGTGCACCTGTGTGGTGTCGGGGGGCATGGTCTTCCTCTGTGCAGCTGATTTCTCCATGGCTTCACTGAGAGACTTAGCATACTGCACCATGGCCTTGAGCTGAGAGTCCGTCAGCACCCACAGCAGGTCATCCAGGATCAGAATCAGCTTTGATGCAACAACATTACAGTCTTTCATCTGGAAAAAGAAATGGACATACAGCCATGACATACATAACGTGCTAATTTAAATACTTAATTTCTTCATCGGAAATATATACACTACTGTTCAAAGTTTTAGATCGGTATGATTTTTTAAATGTAAAAAAAAAAAAAGAAGACACTTCTGCTCACCTGATGCATTTATTTTAACCAAAATACAGCAAAAAACATACCGGTACTATTGTGAAATATTTTTTTAATTTAAAATAACCGTTATCAATTTGAATATATTATAAAATGTAATTTCTTCCTGTGATGCAAAGCTGAATTTTCAGCATCATTATTCCAGTCTTCTCTTCAGTGCCACACAATCCATTAGAAATCATTCTAAAATGCTTATTTGCTACTCAAGAAAATTTTCTGATAATTTTCCAGGATTTTTCAGGATTCTTTGAAAAATAGAAAGTTCAAAAGAACAACATTTATCTGAATTAGAAAGCTTTAGTTGGGCCAAAATCAAGCCTGGTGTTGATCCACTCTGTGATCGTTGCCATCAGGCCCCTGCTGATTTATTACATATGTTTTGGTTATGTCCATCTTTAACTTCTTTTTGGCTATCAATCTTTAATTGTTTTTCTTTAGTGACAAAGAGACAGATTGAGCCTTGCCCTTTGGTTGCACTTTTTGGACTTTCTCCAAATGTCACTGGCTTGTCTGGAAATGCTGCAAAGGCTTTTGCCTTCTCAACATTTTTAGCTAGACGGCGCATTCTTCTGCTATGGAAACAAAATTTCCCTCCATCTTTCGATGACTGGCTGAGAGATGTTATGAGCTTCATTCATTTGGAAAAAATTAGGTATACGATAAAGGGCGACAGCGACACTGGTCAATTTTCTGAGATCCGGGATCCATTCATTAATTTTTTTTCTAAATATGTTAGTACTTCTTCTAGAGTGTGTCAACCTAAGCATTAAAATGTCATTATGATTGAGGCTAAAACCTGTTTAGGAGTATATGTGTGGATACTTATATGTAAGGTTTTGTTTGTTGATGATGTGCATACACTTGATATCTGGTTAAAATGTCTAAACTTTAACGATCCAACATATATTCTATACTTGAGACATTATGCTTGACATAAATATTTTTATTTAGTGGGTGGACAATATTTTTTCACTATTCTCCTGTATCTGTATCCTGGTATTATTGTAAAAGTTCAATAAACAGATTTAAAAAAAAAGAAAAAAAAAAAAAAGAAAGCTTTTGTAACATTATACACTACCGTTCAAAAGTTTAGGGTCAGTAAGAATTTATTTATTTATTTAATTAGGAAAGAAATTAAAGAAATTAATACTTTTATTTAGCAAGTATGGTTATTTTAAATTGTAAAAATGTTTCACAATATTACAGTTTTTACTGTATTTTGGATCAAATAAATACAGCCTTGGTGAGCAGAGGAGACAGAAGAGACTTCTTTTAAAAACATTTTAAAAATCTTACCGATCTAAAAGGTTGTGTGAAAAATGTTCTTTCATTTCAATTTATATATATAATATATATATATATATATATATATATTGTTTAGTTCAGTTTTATTACGTTTTATTTTGTTATTTTTATTTAAAAAATATTTTTTACAAATAGTGCAGAATCTTAAATATGTCTTTTGTATATTACTTCATAATGTTTTTCTTTTCTTTTTTAAATCCAGGTTTATAAAGGATTTAAAACCCCACATTATCTATGTGCTCACAACCACCGCTGTATTTCATTTAATCGTAAAAATTTGAGCACACTAATGCACAGAATTTTGTTTGTGTGTGTAGCTGAATGCTACCATAATAAAACCCTCTAATCAGCTGCCAATATTTAGACTACCAACAGAGAAATGGATCCCGGCTGCCCCCAGACCTCAGAACTGACCCATAAAAGAATGACTGCTACACACACACTCTCAGAAATACACACGCTAGTACACAGTGATCCAAAAGTTGACAGTTTGGATCTAATTTTGTACATTTAACCGTATGTTACTGTTTGAGGGTTGTGTAACTAATGTGTGTGTGTGTATCCTCACCCTCCTCTTTAAAGTGACTCTGATCTTTGATTGGTTGGTGATGAGGCGTATGGGGGCTCTGAGGACCTCATGTTCGGTGTTCTGGATGGCATCTGCTTCAATCCTGATCATCTGCCAGCTCACTTCCTTAAACGTTAGGATCTAGAATGCATCATAGTGTTAGCATAGAAACACATGTCTTATGGTCTCCAACACCAGAGTCTTATGGTCTTATGGTCTCCACAACACCAGAGAGATGTATGTTGTCACCTCTCCACGTGTGGGGTCCAGGATGCGTGTGTATCGCAGGTCACCAGTGGCCCAGCTGGTGTTGACGCTGAGGACCTGGAGCTGCGAGAGCTCGAAGGAGGCATTAAAGGCTTTGGCGCTGATGCGGATCACTATGGAGTTCACAGAGAGTGAGATGCCCTCCACCACTTTCTCCGCAAAACCATATTCACTGACAAAAAAGAGAATAAGAATACAAAATAAACCCCCACAAATAAACATGTAATATCATAATATTGCAAGCAAGTTTTATATTACAACAAGCACTGACCAAAAAATAATATCTAGCCAAGAAAACAAACAAACAAAAATAAATAATATTTTCTATGGCTTTTCAATTTATATACATCCAGGTTTTTCATAACAGAGGGAACCATGAAAACAGGAAAGCAGAAGAGGAGGGATACAAATCAAGGCTGATAGAGCCGATTAACTGAAACCAACCTTTGACCTGAGGCTGTGGCAATGGGTGATGGACCGTTGGGAGGGCGAGGCTCGTCACAGGTGCTCATCTCCATGACAACTTTATCCAAAGACTGAAAGAAATGATATACATACTCAATAATTAAGCTGCAGAAAATGTAACTGCCTTTAATCAGAGCAGATTAGAACAAAACTAAACTCTAAAAATGCGACTATAAAAAAATAATATAGGCTATACATATATACACTTTTATAAATAGAAGAAAAAAAATAAAACAATGTCATTACCAGAGAGATTGGATGAGTCTTCAGCTTGGTCCATGGGATCTAGGTCGTGCACACACAGGAAAAACATATTTACAATTTATACAACACTGTCCTTTGTAATTAAAGGCACTGTTTGCAGCACTGATATATGATGTGTGCACTCATATCTATGATGCTGTGTATTAATAATATTGCTGCAGTGCAGGCCTCTAGACAAACACATACACTTTTAAGGGATTGGTTTTATTGTATTTCCTTAATTTAGCCCACACAAGTATAACCAAGACTGAAGACTTATGGAAAATATCCTCAGAATTATAGTGAAACCAACTTAGGAGAAGTGAAGTGGTCCTCACTATTTTAAACATTCATAAATCATGTTGTGCTTCAAATCTAATAATCACTAAAGGTTTGTTTGAAGGTCATGTTTAGGGGTAGGGAATAGGAAATATCATTATCTTAGTATGAAAACCATAATTAATATTAAAAATGATTATAAAAGGATTAAAATAAGGTTAAATTATTTTTTATTATTAATAATATTACCGTAATAATAACACTAGTTATTATTATTATTATTAATGCTAACAATGATAATAATAGTACTATAATTCTATTCATAAATTATTATTATTATCATTATAAAAATAATATCAAAGTTGTTAAATTGATAGCATGTGTCAAATTTTAAATATTTGTAAATATATTTTGTTCAAATAAATTAAAAATAAAATGCTAAAAAGCAATATAAACCATTTTAAACACTACACGTGTCGTGAATTTAATTAGACAATATTATAATGTACAATATAACAAATGTTCATGTAATCTTTATTATAATCTTCACTATTATAATCAATATTAATAATATTATTTTAGCATTACTATTAATATTATTATTATAGTAAATATTATAAAATTAATTAACAATTAAAATTAAACTGACAAAATTACTATTTTAAACACTACAACAATATCTAGATTTAGACACCTTTATAATTTTATAAATTTTTTGTTAAAGATTACATTTTTAATAAAGATTATTAAGTGTTATTAAATTATTACCTTTTAAAGATTAACTTTAAAGGAGCTGTATGTAAGATTGTGGCCAAAACCGGTACTGCAATCACTTTCAAATTACTGTAGAGCGGTGTATCCCCTCCCCCTCCCCCCTGACTCGAGGTTGCCAGATCGGCTGCATTTTTTTATCCGACACGTGTGTAGCTGCAGCTGTGGTAACTAGAGCAGAGCTGGCAACCCGGATGCCGCAACACTACTGACTTCGTGAATGGTCGATAGGTGGAGGGAGGAGCATCAGACCAAAACAAAACATGACAACATCAACATCAGTTGAGGGCTGCAACTTCACTTTTTAAATGACAATATCCTGGCCGGACTACTGTTGTCAGTGATATAAGTATTTGAAATGAACATGATTTCTCAATGTCTAGTGACATATCAGGGCCATTTTATGATTAATTCAAATAAATTTCTTACATACAGCTCCTTTAAGTGAGGTTTACATGACAACAAGATAATCTAAAATGTAAAAATAGGGGAAAAGAGGACACACAAAAAAAACAATATTGTCCAAAACGATTAAAAAATAAATTAAAAATCTCTACTAACTGTTTGATAAACGATATGGTACATATTGTGCACAACATAGGATGGACATTATGCAAATTTGAGTGTAAATCTAGAGGGCTGAGCTCAATCAGCAGATCCTATGATTCTAGTGTCAGAGGGACTCATAGTGATGATGTTATCAAGAAGCCACGGCGTCTCATACCCGGATGGCGGCCTTATTGCAGAAGACTTTATTAATGGCGAGCCAGGTGGGCAGATCCAACATGTTCTGCAAAACCTCCTCATCCAGCTCCAGGTTGGTAAGCTGGCCCTCCCCTTTCAGAGTGCTCAGATTAATCTTATCTGGGGAGAGGTTCTTAGCAAACCTGCAGAAAAGAGAGAGAGAGGGAGAGGAACAGGGAGAAATGAGGGAATAAAATCAGTAATATGAAAGAAGTGAATGAGGGGAGGCAAAGAAAACCACACTGCAGTTTTCTTTTATGGTTTAATGACTCTTTCTCTTGACTGTAATTACAGCTTCACAAGCAAGCAGATCGGTGAGAGGTCATGCTGTTACCAATACCACCCACCACTGAGCTGTGTGTGTGTGTGTGTGTGTGTGTGTGTGTGTGTGTGTGTGTGTGTGTGTGTGTGTGTGTGTGTGTGTGTGTGGACACTTCTACACATTAATAAGTTCAATAATGACAGTTCACCGATTAAAGTACACGGTGCAAATGTGATCACATTCTGGATAAAGTGTTTTTCAATGATTACAACAGCAAAAAACAGACTGGAAGTTACTGATCTTCAATGGAAGGTCACATTGACTTCAAGATTGATATTAAAAATTATTTATATAATGTAAAATTATTAATAGAAAATAAATGATGTTAATATTATATTATTAATATAAAGTTGCTATTATTACAATTATTTTAACTATTATTATTATTATTATTATTATAACTATGCTATGATGTTAGATTTAAAACACTTTAAAATATATAATATATTTAAAAATATATTTTGTCAAATAAATAAAATAAATAAAATCAACCATTTTACATGCTAAAAGTATATCTGTTCACTGAGGCATTAGTACACAGTGTAAGGTTGATTGCATACTAGAAAAAGCTGATTTCTCCGATTACCAAAACAAGTCAAACATATCAATATATTTTGTTTGATTTCATCTTATTCACATGCTGCTTCTGTAGAATAGATGGGTAATGAATAAAGTCAAAATTTGTGTAATTTAACACCGTAGCCTTTGGCAATCCAAAACTATTGCTGGTCATTTGTCTTACACGGGAAGCTAATCATTTATTATTCATCCATTCATTCATCTATCCATGAATTACCATCCATCAAGTGGAGGGTAAATGCTCTCGTCATTGCTCTTTTACTAAAGACGCACACAAAAAATCTCATGAGTGAAAATGCAGCTCCATAACAATTTAAATGAATGCGACTACCAATAGGGGAAAGTTGCTACATTTGCATTTGGAGATCGCAGACAGGCCAAGTTTTTCATCTTGTTACTGCTGACCCGCCATCCACACTGAAATCAATAGTGTTAGAGCGTTCTCTGATGCTAAACTTGAACATTTAGCAACCTCGAGGATCTGAATCCGCAATAGTGACCAGGAGCTCTGCATAGCCATGACCTTCTGTTTCCGTGCTGATTGATTTTTCAGTTAATGTTTAAGAGTGTTCCCGCAAAGAGCAATGTTCTCTGCACGGCCCTCAGCGCGCCAAGGTTGATTTGTTATCATTTCCTTCTGCTGTTTTGAATCGGCGAGCTAATGGCACAAACAGGTCAGGGTGTGGAAAAGCCAGTCACCCAAAGCCTATGTGGCCACGGTCAATGTTAGTCTGGGGAAAAAAATGTTTTGTTGTGTCATGAACATCTTGAAGATGTTGGATGGCCTGTTTATTTGACGTTCAGCCCAGTTTAAAAGCACTAACACAGAGTCGCTTACACTTAAAATGATTGCTCCTTTGAGTCACCGTAAATGTGTAATAATTAGGTCCCAGACTATGTGTAATCGGTGTTTGAGCAAAAAGTCTTAGATGGGCGTTTAATCCGGTTTCACTCCAACAGATTCAAATGAAGAGCCTTACATAAAGGACTACAAGCAGATTACTAAAGCAAAATTACTGAGTGACAAAACACTAATAACCACTTCGATAACTTTAAAGCTTCTCATTATAGAGCTTCTCAACTAGCCTAGCGTTTAAAAACTGCACTGACGTAACCACTGGCCTGGAAACCTAGAAACAACTGTACTTTAGTTCATGTAAAGATAGCCTAGATGATAGAAGTTCACAGCGTCTGTGTTTCCAAGGACTGAATAAGGATAATGGTGTCTAAAAGTCAGACGCCGTGACACTCATTTTCCTGAAAGTCTCTCTTTAAAGTCCTGCTTAATGAGGTGGAAAACATACAATAAACAATAAAACAACACATAATAATATACTAAGCAAAACTTGTATCAAAGTGATTGTTTATTATTTTTGTATTGAAAGATGAAGAATTGAGGAGGGAAAAAAACAGAAAAGGTGGAATCGTGATTGAAGTGTGAAGTCTCCACAGAACTGTGGTGTGAATTACTAAAGCCGCCGCTGCGTGGGCTTGTTCATCACTGTGTGTGAAACAAAAGCAAACACGAGACGAGAAGTATGAAAACATGCAAACTTTCATAGACAAGCCAGTTCAAAATGAAACGTGAACAGTCTGGCCACCGCATTACGTAGCTGTGTTCTGTGAACGGTTAAATATTCATTCACACACGGCCTACCTTCTTCAGTCCCTGATATATCAGATATCGGGTCAGAACGCTCCACCACTACAGTGAAGAGATCGGACAGGTGCCAGCCGGGTGACATCAGGTGGGCTCAGCTCAACTACTCCTGGGTCGTCTAGTAGCAAATCTCAGATAAATGCATCTTTATTCTGTGCTGATGGACTGAACTTAGCACTTATTTCGATGTTGAAAACCCACAGTTAAAGGTACAATCTGTAATTTTTTCGCCGCCAGAGGTCGCATTTTCAAACCAATAACAAAGACGAAGCTTGACGCTATGAAGGAGAGTGGAACAATGGGAGATTTCGTTTTCACCATGCAGAGATGTGTGGAATTCACATGATGCTAGATTAGCCTGTTACTGATATGTGACTATTTGTCAAATGATTTGTTGGGTTATTGCTGCGCAGTTTTACACGTTTGAAACAATCGTACTAAAAGTCCATTTGAACGAAACCACAGCATTTGCAAGTAATGGCTAAATATTTTTGTGCAACACATAGGCTACTGTATTTAATATCCCTGCCATAGACTTGATAAAAAGCAATACAAACAAAGTGCAATATAACTGTATGTCATTGTGTACAATAAATAATATATATTTGCTTACCCGTCTATTAAAACACATGCGAGAGCGGAGTCTCTGTGGACAGATCAAGTCCAAGTTTGTCGCAAAGCTCTCTCCATCTCGAAAACGCAACGCTGATATTGATACTTGTTTTATTTCTCCGTTTGTCCAAAAGCCTGCTTTCCTTAGTTGATCTACGTTTACGTTTTTTGGGATTTTCGGTACTCGCAATCAATAATCGTGAACCATGATGACGTGCGAGATATTGTATCATAGATATGTAGGCTATACATAGATCCCTCATTAGCAGCTTACGTATAGCGGCCCATTGAAATGGCCACTAATGAGGGATCTATGTATATATATATAGCCTATATGGTTTCTACAAGCGGAAAGCGAGGATAGAGCGGATATTACGTATATGCGACTGACAAGGGACGAGCCATTATTTAAAACTGAAATTTCTCTGGATTTACAAATAATGTAGGCTAAGTGCACAACTACATGAAATATATCACACTGTGCAAGTGGTCTTTGAATATTTTATTACAAAAATCTTACATATTGTACCTTTAAAAACAAAAGGAAGGTCTGAAGATCAAAACCAGTGGGAAGGACAAGTCAAGTATTACAAGTTCACACATTTTTACCATTGCATGATGTACTGTATACCGCCATACTGCCCCATTCTAGATGACACGAAGGTCATTGATAGACTATAAATCAACCTCCTACAAAACGAACAGTGTTATAACAGTCAACACATTCTGTCCCAGTGATAGCAAAACTGCTGAACTGACGTGAGGGTGGTGTTGGGTCTAAACAACACAAAACAGCACTGTCACATGGACAGACACTCATTCATATCAACTATCACATAATATGCACAAAGCTCCATAGACTGAAATCACATAGAAGAATGAGTAGACTCACAGAACTTAATTTATAGCCTTAATTTTGCAGAACACATTTTAAATACGACCAAATGTGTTAAACGAAGTATACTACTGTTTAGGCAGCTGAAAGCATAAACAATTATAAAACTTTACCGTTTCAACTTAATGATGGATGGGGCACATTCAAAGTTACTGTAAAATAGCGATTAAAAAAAATCAGCGACATAAAACTGAGTGCCGAAGAGTTTTTCTAATTAGAATGTAACACAATTGGTCTATTGTACAATCGCTGCTGCTGCTACTATTTCATAAATGGAGTAAGTCAGTCCAGTCATGTTTTACAGTGAATTCACCATACAGTGATTAAGTGTGTTTAACATGGTGAATTCTGTGGCCACTCTGTCTATCTATACTGCCAAGAAATTAGACATCAAGCTGGAATAATGGCATAATTTGCATTTTGACTCAGCATCACTGTCGGAAATGAGCTCACAGAGATACAGTGTCTTCTGTGACATTGTGATAAGACATCCCACTACTGTAGGCACCGTATTAAAAGTACAAAAGTGTATAGCTCTTATGGTATCTTGGTACCATGTCTGTGAACTTGGGAAGTCATTTAAAGTCAACATGAAATGCCTTTTAGAAGTCATTTTACATCCATAAATGTAACTTTTTTTCCCCCTAAGAAAAACCAGAAGATTTCAAAAACAAAACAAATGGGTTGGACTTAATTTTATTGAGAATTGACTGAATTAAGAGCCAACTCCACACCTGAAACTTATGTGGCCTTGATGATGTCACTTGATACGGAATATGGTTCCAGAGGCGGAGCAAGTTACTGCGCTACATGATGACACACAACACAAATGCAAACATTTATTCATTAGACATAATGCAGACTAATTGTGCAGAATAAGCCAAGCAACATGCTTAGAAAAAAGTAAGAAGGACATTTGAAATTTAAATGTTTAAAATCAACATGACAAATTCTCTGTATTTTGTCAACCATATCTAACACAATAGCAGCTTGAATCATTGCACTCACTGGATGAATTTCAAAGTGTGGGCATTAGGGCTGCAACGATTAGTCGACGTTGTCGACAACGTCGACA